CTGTTGTTAAGAAGAAGTCAAGAGAAATGCTTCAAAGAGGACATCAGGTGCCTACAGCAAGGAAAACAATTAGAGGGCAGCAGCAAGTTGAAAAGGCTCGACGTAGTGCTAGAAGAAGGTCTCCTGCGACTGAAAGGAAGAATCGACGCGATACGAGGGGTTACCAGAGACTACAAACGACCCATCGTACTCGACAGCAAGGACAAGACAACACTTCTCATCATAGAAGAATTTCACTGCCGCTTCAATCACGGGAATCACGCGACCGTAATGAACGAAGTAAGACAACGCTTCTGGGTGCTAGGACTGAGGTCAGCGATCAAGACCATTCAACATCAATGCCAGTGGTGCAAAACAAGAAAGGCAAGACCTCAAGAACTACCAGTGGGCAACTTACCTGCTGAGAGGCTGATGCACGGAAACCCTCCATTTACGTGCACGGGAATAGATTACTTCGGCCCTATGACGATCACCGTAGCAAGACGCCATGAGAAGAGATGGGGTGCTCTATTCACATGCTTAACAACACGAGCTGTACACATTGAGCTCACTCCTTCACTCTCCACTGACAGCATGATCATGGCACTACGACGATTCGCCGCGAGAAGGGGAATGCCAAAGATAATCTACACCGACAATGGCACTAACTTCGTTGGCGCCAACAAAGAACTCAAAGAAGCACTAGACACCATGAAGCAAGAAGACCTTATCTCGGAAGCGGAGAAGATCGGTGTGCAGTGGAAGTTCATACCTCCTGGTGCACCAAACATGGGAGGTGCATGGGAGCGTCTGGTGCGATCCATTAAAACCGCACTGGACGCCACGCTCAACGAAAGGCAACCACGAGAGGAGGTACTTCATACCCTCCTGTTAGAGGCCGAGCACATAGTCAACTCTCGGCCCCTCACCCACCTCTCCGAGAACCCTGAAGAAGAAGCACTTACACCGAACCACTTTCTCATCGGGCGATCATGTGGCGCAGCAAGAATCGGCAGCTTCGAGGACAACGAGCTTGTGGGCAGACACACCTGGAAGGCTACGCAGCGACTTGCCGATCACTTCTGGCAACGTTGGCTGAGAGAGTATTTGCCCACTCTACTACCAAGGAAGACCAAAGGAAGAGTCAGCGCCACAGATTTGCAAGTCGGAGACATCGTACTGATCGTCGATCACAGCCTACCAAGATGCATCTGGCCACGCGGAAGAATCCTGCATGTGTATCCTGGACCAGACGGGCGGACCAGAGTCGTCGACGTCGAGACCAGAGGAGGTGTTCTACGGAGGCCCAGTTCGAGAGTGGTGCTGTTGGTGCCGGGAGCGTCGCCGAGTCCAGGAGTTGGTGCAAAGCACGAGGGGGAGAATGTCGGCGACGGAAAACCTATCTTCGAGTAACGTGTGTATTAATATAGGGACAATGTCATTTTAGCGTATTATGAATAATTGTTGTAAATATGAAATCTCATTCTTATTAGATTTATTATGTTAAAATAAGTTCTAATTAGTGTAATAAGGTTAGTTTAGAGTATTTTTGCTTATTTGAATCATATAAGACTATTTAACATTAATTTGAAAGGAATAGGTACGTAAGTAAATAAATATGTGTAAGGTGTTTTACTGAAAACATAAAATAAAAGGACTCTCAAGGTTTCGGTTTAGGGAAATTTTATTCGAAAAACGAGCTCAAAGTACGCGGCTCTCTGTAAGGTATTAACGGGCCAAATAAAAGGCGAGCCATTTCTCGATTCGAGTCAGTCGCAAGACAGCCACCGAAGAGGCAACAACTAAAAGGAAAAGGAAGAACCGAAACCAAGAGAGAAAAAAGGAAAAATTGTGTTTTATTTCATCGCCTCTAAGTATAGTCTCCTGTCAACGAAGAAACCCTAGTGGATCGGGACCCAAGCTACGCATTCAGGGGTGCGTGGTGGCGTACATTACCAGCGAACGGACATACTGCCGTGTACGCCAAGAACGTCTGGGAGATTGTCCCAGGTCGACCTCCGGGTACTAGACATACCCTGGTTCTGGTCGTCCGAAACAATTTATGATAGTACAACAGATCCAATTCATCTATATTATAAGGTCCATATCGACACCATGTATTTAAAATACGCAAATTCTTACTTTACAGGAGAATTATTCTAAATAGATCGTTTTTATGAACTTGCGTAAAAAGAGGTACATAGTACGTCGTCAAAAAGAGTTTCATTTGTTTGAGTTATTTTACGAAATGTGCGTACTATTGTATTTTGTGAATTTAGCTATTAAGCAAGACCAAGTAACAGTATAATTCAGGTCACTCCAATGTATCTGCTATGTACAAAATATCACTCTGGGTATGAGATCTGGGATAGTAATTAGTCAGACGGAAACGGATTTCTACACACCCTCATTTCCCCTTATTCAATATAATTATAAAAAAACTATAATTATATATTTTTAAAATAAAGTGCACATATATACATATGTACGTACATTTGCACGTACATTTGTACGTACATAGCCAGTTGTAGGTTTAAATCCCACTCGGGGCTAATTTTTGTATAGAAAATAACTTGTAATACATCTGGGGGCACGGCAGTGAAGATCTCAAGCATAACGTTTTTTTGTTACGTATTAACCAATAAAATGGGATTTTATATTGAAAAGTTGTAAGAATAAAAAAGTTTACGCTCCTGCAGTTAGATGTGTTAAGAGATAATTAGAATAGTATGTAGTAGGCATAACATCGTTGCAGTCAAAATGCCATCGTTTCAGCAATTTGTTATATACATATTAGTTATATACATAAATTTTGATTTATAGTATTTATAACGAGTGAAAATTCTAAAAAAAGGCAAATAATTGCATTCCAATGCGTAACAGAATCAAGGAAATAGAGATCAAATGTCAACCTCAGTTGGTGTCTACTTTCATTTATATTACGTTTCAGTGGTTTTAATTTCGCGCGATAAATGAAACTGTGAATCGACCTTTAAACCTATATGAAACACTATCCTTAGGCAATAAAATGTTCATTCACATATTGCTAAATTACAACGATTTTTCACAATATGTCACCATACTATTATTTATTAGCGGTTCACCCTCGCTTCGCTCGGGTTCGCTTCTAGATAAACCACAACAAATCTGTCCCACGGGAACCGTGCATTTTTCCAGAATAAAAAGTAGCCTATGTGTTATTCTGATGTATCTATATTAATCTCTGGATATAATCTCTAGATGAAATTTGGTAAGAAGATAGTTTGAGACCATGGGAATGACATAGGATACTTTTATCTCTGAAATCATACCTTAAGGGGGTGACAATGGGGATAAATGTTTGTATGGGGAATTAATCTAGGGACGAACAACTAGGACGCTAGTGAGTTATATTATTGTAAAGTTTCATTAAAATCCACTCAGTAGTTTTTGCGTGAAAGAGTAACAAACATCTATACATCCAGACATCCACAAGTGGTAGACTATCTTCTTAAAATTAGAAAAACCGTACTAAAAATTAATTATAGTACTATTGTCAAAAAGGTTTCAAGAAAATCCAGTTTAGAAATTGGCATAAGTATCATGTAGTATACCCGCATATAAATGGAAAAACCGAATAGGGTTCCTCTTTTTTAACAACTAGACGAAATTGATGAACTGCTTTTACCATCCGATATCTTCAATATGATATTCTAAAGTAATTATATCCGGAATAGCACATAGGTTACTTTTAATCCCGAAAAAATTTACGGTTCCCGTGGGATAGATTTTTTTGTCTAGGGACGAATCCGAAGTGAGGTGAGAGTGAGGGTGAGCCACCACGTCTTCTGTCAATTTTGCGCTTGTCTTATCGGTTTTAAATACGAAGCTAATGAAATATAGAGTAGAGAATGTGTATCTTGGATATTCGAATTAATAATAAAATTATAGCACCAAATATAAAAGACTGAGGCGCGATGTTTGTTCTTGTATGTGTCGAAAAAGATGCATAAAGTTATAACTTAACAGGAGGTCTCAAATATGAAACTTGTTTTTTGAGTTCTTTTTATATTTCTCTATAGAAAAAACTGTAATATGTAGGTATGTACGTAAAACTTAATATAATTAGAGTTCTATAAAACAAACTGCTCAAGTGTAACTAACAAACACTTCCCTGAAGATTTCGAACACTATTTAACATAAGGTCTCATTTTCTTAATTACAAAAATATGTAAGTATTTATTTACTATAAGGGAACTCATCGGGGCGGCGTAGACGAGATCAAAGAAGCTGATACCGTGGTGCCAAACAGGATAACTTCGGAGTATTACCATGAGTGATTTGAATCGTGAGAGCAAAGATGGAATCGTTGTGTAGAGTTAAAAGGAGACTATAATTGTGAAGGTCAATAACAAAATTTTGCAAAAAAACTTGTTTTGCTTATTTTATTGGCAAATTCACGGAACTTACCTAATATCAGAACTTCATATGAAATACCGCGCAAACCGAGATAAAAGTTTTTCTACATCACATATTAGGGTATGGTGTATTTAGCATCTATTGAATGATTCTTGCATGATCCTGTCGCACATCCAAAACTTCTTAAACTTTTATAATTATAAAATAATAGAAATATTTTGAATGGTCCTCCCATTTGCTTAGTGATTATTTTTTACTGCGAACTACTCGTTTAGAACTCTTCCCGTTTCTTACGTTTTTATTTATCAAACAGTCGTTTATCTTTTGTTTAATTAAAAAAAACATGAAATACCGTAAATATTTAACGTTTTATCTTAAATGCGGAAGCTTTTCGGCTGTCTTCTTTTAATACGCGGTGACGGCGAAACAACAGCTCTAACACGATTTTTACATGAAGCGACCAGGCTACTTTTTATCCCGATACTGCTACAAGTTTTGTTGTCCATTTAGCAGAATGGTTCATAAATATTTCGATTTCTGTGATATTTTACGACTATCCACAGGTACAGTGGCATCATATAAATAAAATTACCTATATATAAATAAAAGTTATTGTTTTTTAGAGATCCACAAATCCGAGGCACGCTTACAACTCTTACCAATAGTTTTACCTCGACGGGTATGTTCATCGCGTATCTTCTGGGTACGGTGGTTTCCTGGCGACATGCAGCACTTCTCTCGCTCATTATACCACTTAGTACGATGATCCTAGTGTTGTTTGTACGTATTATTTTTTATTATAATTTTAATATTTAATTTTTTTTACAAGTATGTTTTAATGTAAATCCGTGTTTAGGCCGACTTCCGAAAGTAGCAGGTAAATTGAAATAATTAATTTATGAATATTTAAAATATCATCACTCATGGTTTCCAGCAAATTTAAAACATATAAAATTATTATAAAATCCATAACATGAATATATAAATAAATAAACATATATCATTAAGTTTGACGACACGTTTGGCTCAGTTGGTAGTGACCCACTTGATGTGCCAGCGGTCGCGGGTTCAAGTCCCGCTGGGGGCATTCATTTGTGTGATGAGCGAGTGAGATGAGAGAGTGTTTGTACTCCAGTCATGGTCATGGTTGTTTATATTTATAATATGTATGTATTTAAAGTTATATATGTGTGTCTATCTGGTATCCATAACACAAGCCTCGTAGCTTACCATGGAACTAGATGGTGCTGTGTGTTAATAAACATTTATTATTATTATTATTTAAAGCGGACCCGAGACGCTCAATCGCAATTGTCAAATTGCTACGGTATTGTCAATTGTAATTGAAGTGCGATTGATACATGTTTCAATGTGTTTGCGCGTAGTATGCTTTTTGGCGTTGGAACAGTTAGTGTTCGCGGAGGCAGCTAGTGCTTAGTAGTCTCCTTAATCTATCTGTAGGCAGCTACGCAGCCGAATGACGGAAACGATTCTCAATGACTCAGTGAATGATCAATTGGCAACTTCTATGGCTCCTTTGCTTTCAATCACGTAATTGCGATTGACAATCGCTTCAATTGTACTTGTAAACGATCAATGGCGATTGATAATAACGTAAAATTGACAATTGCGATTGATCGTCTCGGGTCCGCTTAAGAACTTATAAAGCTTTAATTATATGTATATTCTTTGAATATCAAGTATGTATTGCGTGATATGATAGATAATAGGTATAGGGCTAGCTTGTTCTTCATTATGAATATGTAATAGCGGATATATCAGTTATACCTACACTCGAATTAATACTAATTTTAATAATAAGGACACATGGACCCTATATGTTACAGAACAAGTTATTATTGGGCATTTTTGGAAAAGTGTGTATAATGATTACCCAAAACGGGCCATGTAATGCATAATTACTAAAACTTCGTTATTTATTATTTACTAGCATTGCCCGCGGCTCCGCCCGCGTTCAGAAGACCAAACCCCAAATTCTTAGGTTTTACATATTAGTATACTCTTACATTGCAATTTTTGTATTTTTTTTTCAGAAATGAGAAATTTTCCCGCGGTAAAAAGTATCCTATATGTTGACCCGGATAACCAGCTATCGCCATATCAAATTTCATCAAAATCCCTCCAGTGGTTTTTTTGTGATGCGATAACAGACAGACAGACTGACAAAAATTCTAAAATTCTAAAAACCATAGATTCGACCTCTGTATCGATAATAATGTTTATTTCAATAAGATTTTCCAAAAAATATCTAATGTACAGATTCGGCTTTGTTATAATTTTATTATAATATGTATAGATTGGTTAATGTTTTTTTACTACTTGCACGTACGGCGTACGTATCATCCGACGTCCGATCTTATTACCGTGGTAAGTGCCTATAAGCTAATCCCATCTATATCCTCTACCTATGTGTCAAATTTCATCCAAATCGGTTAATTAACCAATTATTGCGTGAAACAGAATCAAAAATCCACATCATCCAAGGGTAACAAACATCTCACAAACTTTCGCGTTTATAATATATAATCTAGCAGAATTCCACATTATTTGCTTTTAACATATCATATTTCATTGGCGTATTATGATAATTAATCATAGTAAAATCATACAGTTCATTTATTTTTAACAAGTTAAAGTTACCTCTACACTCAATATTGTTTTTCGCATGAAATATTAATATTCTACAAAATCCACTTGACGTGTCAGGTTACTGTTCACCCCGTTTCCGTACCGTTGAGCCGTTACTCCACTGTTGCGTAAAAGAAGGCTATTTAAACTATCTTATTTATAATACCTGTAATTTAATTATTTAAATAGTTACTCATATAAACTAGTTCACGGCATGTGTTAAGACTCCAAGTATGCATTGCCTAAAGAGTGGATTATGATGTTTAATTATAATTAACTTTTAATAGCGATATTAATAGCGATATTTACAGCGCTGGATTTACACAAAGGACACTTGGGGCTAGTGCCCAGGGCGGCAAATTTTCAGGTGCGGCAAAATTCTTCTTCTTCGTTTTTTTATTTTCCAAAAAATGAATAATAAAAAAAAACTATTTTTTGCATTTATCAAAAATTAGAAGAAATGAACTTGATCGAAACTTTATCTATTTCATGCAAAGTTTCGATAATGGGGCGGCATTTCTTACATTGCCCAGGGGCGAGCTAAGGTTGAATTCGGCACTGGATATGCATATTAATGTCATACTCAATCCACTTAAATCAACCACGCTTTGGAATTCGTTACATATCATTGTGTTGATATTACGATGCCATGTTAAAATATAATAAAAAAGTTTACTTTATTCTTCTACTCGTGCTAGAGTTATAGAATAAATGACAAATTAAAACCCTAATTTCATATCTGTTGAGAGACCAGAAAAACAAAACTATAACTATAACTAATATTTATTTAACTTATTTACTATTGAGTTACAAAAAAAATAATTTTCCATTCAAACCGTAACGGCCTATTAAGAGACCTATTTATTATATTATAACCGTGATTTTTTAATTTAATGCCCATTTTTGACGTTCTTATTCAGAGAAACAGAAACTCTTCGACAATTTTGACTTATTGTATGGTGGAGAATAGTTATTAATATAGTTCATAGCGACCTCGCTTTTTGCGAATTTTTATTATTAGTTGAAATAAAGTCAAAATTCCAAAGCAAGTTTTTAATAAAATGCGCGACGGCACTATTTCCAGCTCATGGATTGAAATACTAAGCAACGAAATAAAATATATATAATAATATCTCGTATATAGTGGTTGAGTTTATAGCAGCCTCTGAATTTGAAAATATGTATTGAATTTCTACAAAAAAAATCCTTTTCAAAATCTTAAAAACTATTAAAAACGTTCAGAATTAGCTGTAAATATATCCTTACTAAATACCAGAATATATGTACGTCATATATACGTCATCTATACATATAATAAAAATTTTGTCTGTCTGTTTGTCTGTCTGTCTGTTATCGCATCACAGAAAAACCACTGGAGGGATTTTGATGAAATTTGGTATGGTAATAGCTGGTTATCCGGGTCAACATATAGGGTACTTTTTACCGCGGGAAAATTTCTCATTTCTGAAAAAAAAATACAAAAACTGCAATGTAAGAGTATACTAATATGTAAAACCTAAGAATTTGGTTTTTGGTCATCTGAACGCGGGCGGAGCCGCGGGCAATGCTAGTTTACATAAGTAAAATTAAGATCAGAATATACGTCACTTCAAAAGAAACGTAATTATATACTTTTATTTTAATAATTTATTATAAAACTTTACATAGAAGTAATTACAACTGCAGAAAATCTTAGACACAGGGATGCGTCGACCGCTCGAACTCAATACCATAGAACTCAGTACATTTTGTGATAGGCCTCTTAAGAACGTTTTAAAATAACAAATTTGAAATCACCCAAATCGGTAGCATCGTTCTCGAGTAGTGCGCTTACGAACGGCATTTCATTTTTTATTTATATAGAAAATATTATTTTTTTCAGGTGCCAGAAACTCCAATATGGTTATTGTCAAAGGGCCGCCAAAAAGATGCGCTAACTTCACTATGCAAATTGCGAGGTTGGGCCGAGCCTGAGGATGTGCAAAAAGAATTCAACGATCTTCTGCAATATAACGATAGTATAACAGAATGTATTGTTTGCAAAGAAGCGAAAGATCGATGCGAGCATTCTAAATATAGTATAATTAAAAAAATATACTTTAAATTTAAATACGTTTTCTTTGTGAAGGAAACTTTGAGGCCATTTAAGTTAGTTATGGCCTACTTCTTTTTCCATACAATGAGTGGTCTCTTACCGGTTAGACCCAACATGGTGAATGTTTGTAGAGCATTAGGAATGAAGTTTGACCCTAAAGCAGTAGTGGTAAGTTATTGTGATTATTATTTGTTTAATTTTAAATTTTACTTATTTGGAAGTTGTGGTTTTGGATGACAATTTAGCAGACTTTTTAAAAAAAGCGATGTATGTGATATTGCGCTCTTGTCAGAAACAATTTAAAACAGTTATCTAGGTAATAAAATAATAATTATTATTATAATTTATTTATATATATTATTTATATAATATTAATTATATTAATGTAATGTAAATGAATATTTATTCGAGTCCTGTATTCAAGGCTGCCTGTTGTTGCCGTCCCCGTTAGTGATTAGGCCGTCTTTGTTACATCTGCTGTACAGTTATGACTTTTTAATATTATATTACCTCCATGACCGCGGACACGCCGGCGTTACAGTTAAGAATAAATTTCTTAGAAATTTAATTAATTTCTTAGAAATTTACCTGGAGGTGATATGGGTTATGTGTACCATATATTTGTGCAATATAGAACACTAACGACTTATACTCGCTTCATTCGAGTACGTCCCTAAGAACAATATAAAATCCAAACGTTCAAAGTACAATTCTTTTTTTGGGGTTATAAACCTTCGCAAGCAAGATAAAGTTAAAGTAAATTCGTATCTTTCGATGATTACACTAAATAGTTTAACTATACAGGGTCATTTTTAATTTACTAAAGACCTTTTGGGAATATACTATTTACATCATAACAACAACATCTGTAAATAAAAAAAAATAAGATTTGTTAAATTTTACAAAAATAAAAATATTTTTATTGCACTTTCTAAACGGTAATATAACGGTAACGGTATAGTCTCTTATTAAGTCACTGGCGGTCATTTTGGTATTTAGATATAGGTTGCAAATATGACATAAACCTCCTATAAATAGACTCAATAAACTTTTTTTTTTTAAATTTTCAGGTAATAGTCGGTGTTGTATATATAATAATGAACCTTCTATCGGCTGTCATAGTTAAAACAATTGGAAAAAGAAAACTTATTCTATCTTCTTTATTAGCGACCGCGTGTTCTAGCCTTGCTCTGTCGATATATTCTAAAATCAAATTGTCTGTTGATGTTTTTTCGTATGAAGTCAACACTTTTCCGGAACAAAAGGAAATAGTACCGGTAGTGTTATTTATGACGCTTGTGTCATTCACTAGTTTGGGCATACCTTGGATTTTGTTATCAGAAATGTTTCCGTTCAGGTTAGTGTTATTCGAATATTTGTTATTTATTTTGTAACATTTTATCTATATTAGGAATAAGACATATATGTGTATATATATATATATATATATATATATATATATATATATATACATATAACCAATAAATAAACATTTATTGGTTTCTATGTGGCTTTTGTCGCTTTTGATGGGATCCTATTGGAATTTTTAAATAGGGAGATTCCTACGGGGGACTATAGTTCGTATAGACGAGATCAAGGTTTGACAAAATAAATTACGATAAAAAAAACATCTATAGTCCCGCTAAAAGCAATTCCTCCCAGAGCTGCACTTTTCTTTCCGGGCTGGAGTTACGTATAATAATAATCGTCCATATGTATATTTATAAAATGATCGACATTATCATAGTAATTCACAATATGCAATCATTGCTCTCTTTTATTTGCAGGAGTCGCGGCATGGCGACTGGCTTGGCCGCCGCTCTTGGATACGTCATGTTCTTTTTAGCATCAAAAACAAATTACAACCTCGAAAGCACGTTCCACATGTCTGGGACATTCATGTTTTATTCTATCATCGGTTTAATTGGTACTATCTATTTATATTTCTTTTTACCGGAGACTGAAAGAAAGACTTTAGTGGAAATAGAAGGCTTTTATAAAGGAAATAAAAAGATATTCGCAGATGATTTCTTTATAAATTCATTTAGGAAAAAGAAGAATAACGACTCTAATAAGCCAATGCTAGTCAACTGTAGTTAATTTAGTTATTATGTTAGTGCCATGTACCTACCTACTGTAGTTAAGTTCATCGAATGGCTATTTGTTGAGATTTTGTATTGAGATTAAGGTGTATTTTTTTTTTAAGTGTTAGCTATAATATTATGTTGATCGCATTGCATTAGTATGAGTGCTTAAATGTTTAGCAAACATTTGACGCAAGAGTTTTTGTTTAACTCTATTATGTTGTTTTATTTATTTATTCAGCCTTCACTATTGTTTGTGGGTGAATGAACGGAATTATGTTTAGAGCACAAAATTAACGTGTAATTTTAACGCACAATCAAAACGTTACTGTTGAAATATGAAGTGTGAATAATAAATACTTTTTTATATTTAACATTTATATTTTTTCTGTTAAAAGTAAATTTCCTATCTTTTAATCCCAAAGAAACCTTATTTCGCCTTTAGCTATAGTATTCCAAATACGTGGTCGGTCACATTCACTTCTTAATCTTGTTATAGAGTGTATAAGTTTCGTATGGTTCAATTTTTAATCTATACTAATATTATAAAGAGACAGCTTGTTTGTTTAAGCGCACTTATCTCAGGAATTACTCATCTGTTTTGAAAAAATATTTTTCGATTAGGTAGCCCGTTTATTGAGTAAGGCTTATAGGTCATCATACTACTACCCAAGGGAGTTTAATAGTTTTTAAGATTTTGAAAAGCATTTTTTTTAGAAATCCAATACATATATTCAAATTCAGAGGCTGCTATACACTTAACCACTTTATACGAGATATTATTATTATATTTTATTTCGTTGCCTAGTATTTCAATCCATGGGCTTGAAATAGTGCCGTCGCGAATTTTATTAAAAACTTGCTTCGGAATTTTGGCTTTATTTCAATTAATAATGAAAATTTACGAAAGGCGAGGTCGCTATGAACTATATAAATAACTATTCTCCACCATACAATAAGTCAAAATTGTCGAAGATTATCAGTTTCTCTGAATAAGAACGTCAAAAATGGGCATTAAATTGAAAAATTACGGTCATAATGTAATAACTAATAGGCCTCTTAAAGGCGTTTTAGAAAACGTGACGCAGCGTAATAAAAGAGGAAAACGTGAAACGAAATTTTACGAAACGTATTTTATGAATGGCTTCCTTCCTATGTATGAGTATTTGTTATGAGGGCAAATTTAAGGAGGCAGACCTACCTAAGTTTTATCATAAATGATATAATATGATGTTCTCCTGACCGATTCCGGCTATGGCGGCCAATCTCATTGAGACTAGCCAACTGCGCAGGAGATATTATAGTGCACAAGTGTACGCGCAGACACAAATGCACTCTCTATTCCTGTCACTCTCATACTCCGGTGGGACGACTGCTCTACACAACCAGTGAGAGTTAAGGCGCGTGCTCTCCGAGGCACGGGGGTGAAACACCGCCAACTTCTCAACTCCGGGCTGTTACTGAGGCTTACTATACATATTAGAACTTAGAAGTTATGGGTATGAAGTAAACAAAATCTTTATTTATGGGGAAAAGAGTAAAATATGTCTTGTACCTGAAGCTACAACAAAAAGGAGATTTACATACTAAAATTGAAGATAAATAAAAGTTACTACTATAGTTAATTTTAATGTTTACTATTAAGTCTTGGTCCTTCAGCACCTGTTATCTTTCTGACCGTTGGTGCAAGCACTTGATACTTTCGTCATATATTCTGTAAGATAACAAATTAGATATTGAATTGGTTTCCTAATTTTTATTGTCTATCACAATTATATAGGCATATACCTAGTTACCTCAAATCTTTCAAAACCAAAGATAATTCTAACTATAAATTTAAAGGATTGAATCTATTTAGAGTACAAAATAAATGTGCGTTGGTAATAAAGAGCTAAGGTGGCAGTAATTTCTACAGTGACACTTAAAAAAATCGAATATTATATAAATATCTCGTGTCACGGTGTTGTGGTCGCACTCCTCAGAAACGGCTCGACCGACTTTAATGTTTTTTTTTTTTGTATATTTGGTAGATATGAAAATAGGTCGTAAAGTATTTTTTACCCTCCTACTTCCACTCCCCATTTTTTTATCGCGATTTTAATATTTTTGTATGAACAATCCATACTAATTTTATAATTGTGTAAGTGCGTTTTTTAGTTTGTCTATCCTTCTTTCACGTCAAAACAGAGTAACGGATTGGCGTGATTTTTTGCATGAAGATAGTTGGAAGGCTGGAGAGTGACATAGGCCACTTTTTACCGCGAGAGATTATATTATTCCTACGGGAAAAGACGTTGAAAAACAAATCAAAAAATTATTTATGATCAGAATTACTTTGTAACTTGGTATTAATGCTCTTCAATTCAATTAAATAAATAAGTGTTGTAACATTTTTCGAAATTCATCCCTTAAAGTGGTAAGGGGACGAAAGTTTGTATGAAACCTACCTTTTTAGAGTTTTTTATAGTTTTAGCGAGAGCGAAGCCGCGGGTTCTATTAGTATTATACAAAAACATAGCGAAAAATAAACATAAAGCCAAAGAGTTTTTTTGTAAATTGAACGCGAGCATAGCCGCGGGTTCTGCTAATATCTTTATAACAATGTGTTAAGGTCTATCGCAACATTTTTTATATGAATGACTGAATTAACCTACAAAAGTTAGTTACATCTAATCTTTAAAAATGTACTTAACACAATCATTAAAAACATTTTGTTGTTTGATTTAGATTATTCATTACCCTTGACATAATTTTGTTATTTGGATTAATTATGACGATGTAAAGTATGTAGGGACTAAAATTCTATTATGTAAAATATTAGTTTAAATTAGGCAGATATTTATAAATGGTACACTTGAAAAGGTAAGAATCTTATCAAAAACGTCCCAACCAAAAGTTGATTTCAGACAGCTTGTTCTTGAGCAACAACCTGAAATACAACTTAGAGAAGGCCATCGGAAGATTATTCAAGAAAATCATGGTCAATTGAATTATTATCGTCTATTAGAGGACTTTATGTAATGTATTAAAATAATATTTGTTGTTATTTTAAACCAACTGTAAATAAAAATAATATTCTCTTTTTTTTTTAATTTGTAAGCACATTACACAATATCTTAAATATATTGTATAAAATTTATTAAGCAAGCCATTAGAAATTATTGTAAAGTTTGGCCCATATGTCCTGTGAAACCAACTGGACGGACGGCTCATTATATCGTAAAAATTAATATTGTATAGTATTAATTTAAAAAAATCATAAGATTATAAATAAATTCAAAAGCTACGAAACTAAATTATTAAAAATATAAGTAAAAAATGAACAGTACGTACGAGTGTTAAAGTCACAATTATATTCGTACATATCACACATATCGAAAAAGCGTCGGCGACTACAGCCATTGGGGGAAATGCCGCATATTGCTGGGCCTCCGTGGAGACACGTTGTAGCCAAGTTACAGAAGTTAACCGGCTGAGAAAAATGACATTTAACAATTATTCTTCTTTTTAATCGAATAATTAAAAAATATGTCATCTATGTGTAGAGTGATACGCATTCATAATTAAATACATAATTAATTATTAGATTGATTGATCTTCTTTACATTTTGAGCTAAGAATAATAAATTTGAAATTATCCGATACAATAGATAATGTAAAAAAATGTAAACAGCGTATCTGTAAAGTATACAGTTCAGACTTATTACCTAATAGCGACTCACCCTCGCTTAGCTCGGGTTTCGTTCACAATTTCATGAGTTTTATTTTTTGCACGAGACCTTCATTCTTTTTCTAAAATAAAAGTAGCCTAAGTTACTCCTTATAACATCAGCTATCTGCTGGTGAAAGTCCTGTCAGAATCGGTCCAGCCGTTTCGGAGTTTATCCGGAACAAACAGACAAACGAATAAAAAATTTAAAAAAAATGTTTTTTTTCTTATAAATACCGTATACAATTTCATATGCATTTAGTAAAACGCTGTTATTTTGACATTACAAACAGACACTTCAATTTTATTTATCTGTATAGATAGATAGATGGGCTGTTTTTTTTCAAGCGTAGAATATGTACCTAAAGCAAATCTCACCAACATTTGATTTTCAATTTCATTATAGAATAGAAATTGATGCTAATAAAAATTATTTAAGAGTAAATTAAAAAAAACAACAATTGGTCAAATAAAAACGACATTATTGCAAGTCACCATGGTGCTGAACATTTTAGTACCTACTATTTGGAAACCGACAGTTTGAATCCCAGGTAAGTGCTGAGGGTATTAATAATCGTATTGGAATTAATTACCTTAAGCACAAGTCACTCTATAGTTATCTACCAGTTCCTGTAGACTAGAGACATGAATGATAAAACTAGCTCTAAATCCATTTTCATAGTGACTTTTATCGCTAAGATATTTGATCTGCTTAAACAACTATTCTTGTTCTTAAACATACTGTGTAATATTATCCAAAAGTTAAAACAAAAAATGGTGTATGCATTTTTTCGACCACCACCATGTTTTCTAATCTAGTCTCTTTTTATCTTATCAAAAGAATAAGTAGGTATTAAGGCGGTCATGCCGGATGGAATGCTAGGCGAGACAATGAGAATCATTCGAGGCCTATAATTTATACATGGACCAGGCGACAAATGAGCTCCAGGTATATTGTAGTTTGCGCAAGCGACCTTGCAAATTCCTGTTAGAGTCCCACTATAGATTCAGATTAAGAGTCTCATTTCCTAGACCATTGACAGCGACTTTAAAAGAAGGCGATGAAGATCTCAGCAATTACAAAACCGGATTTTTTATTACCTAATCATTACCTCAATAATATCAATACGTGGACGATATGCTGAATGTTGCTTTTGCTGAATCTATTGATCAAGTCTAAGAGGAGATCAGATCGTGATGTGTGTGCGAAACATTAAATCCTCGGACTAAACTCGCCAACGAGATCGTGTGTGTGTAAGTGTTTTTTATTAGATAATATGTCGTAATCTATCAATCTTAAGGGG